GCTCCCAGGATGCAGGGGCAGGTCTCCTGGCTGCTGCCATGATCGCTGTGGTGCCTGGTTACATCTCTCGTTCTGTGGCTGGCTCCTATGACAATGAAGGTAAGATCGGTGGGGCTCCAAAATAAAAGGTAACCCCCAAAAGAGCCAATAAACAGGACTATGTAGCACTTTAAAGACTAACAAGATGGTTTATTAGATGATGAGCTTTCGTGGGCCAGACCCACTTCCTCAGATCAAATAGTGGAAGAAAATTGGCACAACCATATATACCAAAGGATACAATTTAAAAAAAAATGAATACACATAAAAAGGACAACTCAAATTTCAGAACAGAAGGGGGTTTGTAGCTTCCCCAATTATCACCTCTGATATCATTAGCTTACAGACATTTACCTCCCCCTCCCCCTCCCCATTCCTCCTCCTGTTCTGAAATTTGATTTGTCCTTTTCATGTGTGTTCATTTTTTTTTAAATTGTATCCTTTGGTATATATGGTTGTGCCAATTTTCTTCCACTATTTGATCTGAGGAAGTGGGTCTGGCCCACGAAAGCTCATCACCTAATAAACCATCTTGTTAGTCTTTAAAGTGCTACATAGTCCTGTTTTTTGTTTCAGCTACACCAGACTAACACGGCTACATTTCTATCACTAAAAGAGCCAATGTATTCTGAAAACCAAGTATAAAAATAACAGTGTTTGATTCCTCTGCATTTGCTCCTAGAGCGATGCAAGCAGATGATTCCCAATCAATAATGATCTACAGACAAAACCTGCAGTGCGATGAGATTTGGCTTTTCTCTTGCACATTAAGCATGTTTTGCCTGTCTAGTTGATTATGTTGATCTCTCAGGATGGAAAATATTTGTTTCTCTCTTGTACAAAATGAGCAGGCGCTAATTAATAGTAATATAGGAATATGCTCTAATAGTAATATCGTCAATTCCAAAACAAGTGGTTCTACCAATTCCATAAACTCTTGTAGGCATCAAAACTCTTTCTGTCCTGTACCACCTGAAAGTAGCAATAGTTTTGTAACTGAGACAGAGACAAGTTTGCTCTTGATACCTAAAATAGAATAGAATCCAGGTGGCTCTTTTATAACTATATTGATATTACGTGGGTGACCAAGAATCAACTTGTTAGTAGGTGTGACTTAGGCCTCAGAAGCAAATGTGTAGAGTAAGAAAGGACCGCTTTTTCATGCATTGTATTTTTACCTTTTTAAAGCCTTTAATGGCGCTTTCAATTTTAATTTAATTTAAATTTACATAAGGGATAAATGTTTCTTTCAAGGGCCCAAAGCAACATACATGTTAAGACAGTAATTCTGTAGAGCTCTACTCCTTGTGAAAAGGATTTCTGGGGTTCCCTCTGTGACAGATGCACAATGTATACATTCACCTTGTGGTACATTGAAATCTAGGAAGGTGCTGTCACTACAGAAGTGGTTCCCAAAGCAGTGGGGTTGTCATGATCTGGACTGCATGTTCCGTGCTCTAATCACATAGCTGAACTTTAGGGAAGGCTGTTTTGTCATAAGGCTGTAACTTTCACAGCGGATTACATTACAACAAGGTGAGCCTAGGGTCAGGCTTATTAAGGTTTTTAGGTGCCTAAAGGTGCAGATGGATGTCTAGTGAGATTTACAAAAGTGCCTAAGTAAGTTAGGCATCTAATCCCCATTGACTTAAAGGGTTTGTCATTATTTGCCATGGAGAGGTGGTCCTGGGCACTTTAGGGTAGATGTTTATTTTTGTGTCAGTAGTATTTCCATGTATTCCTGTACATTATTTTGCTCAGGTATTGCAATATTCTGTATGTTGCTAACTTACTACATGTGGATCAAAGCAGTGAAGACTGGCTCCATCTACTGGGCAGCCATGTGTGCCCTTGCCTACTTCTACATGGTAAGTTCTGTTTCTGCTCACAATCACTTCACTTCAGATGAGCCTGTTGATCAGAAGTAACCAAAATACAGCCTAGATGTCAAATGTGGCCTATAGTTATCTTTGTGTCCGTGTTAAGCGGGTGTGAATGTTTAACTGATTAACCAGTGGGGGCTAGAGCAGCTCCTTGCCTGCCACAGGCAGGGGGATGTTCCAGCCCCACAGGATGGGCTGTGATGGCATCCCAGCAGGAACAGTCTCTATCTGCAGTGGGCCCAGACGCCCTTCAAGCAGGAGCTGCTCCATCCAGGACTCAGCAGCCCCCACCTCAGATGAGGTGGGCTACTCAAGCTCTCCTGCCCACCTCTCCCTTTGAGTTAACTGGTTTAAATGATAGTAGGGTGCCCCCTGCTCACTACGCTTGCCAACCCCCCTCTTACGGTGAGTAGGCAATCCCGCTCTCTCTCCCGCCCCCTCCTCCCCCAACCGGGAGGATCAGGCTACAGCTGTGCCAATCCAGACCTGTTTCCCCACCCACCTGAGCCTTTTCTTCCCCCAGCTATCACCCTGCCATGGCCTAAGCCTAACCCC